GATGAGAAAAAATGATTTATTACCCTTATTCCACCTCCAGCCAATCAGGTCCCAGCACAACCCACTACGCCCAACCCATGGTATCTTGATTTTGCCCTATATAATCTATAACTTACCATCAGGGAGTCAGTTTTTTAGAGCATAAGCTCCCTGTCTCCATATTAGGCAATTCAATATTGAACTATTTTCTTTTTCTATACTGCAAACTCCTACTCATGCATGTTTTTGGACCAGTGTGTGCAGGTAGGCGGACTCAAGGAAAAACATTGGAGTTCCAGTAACAGTATCATAGAAAGAAGGAATACCAACAGCTCTGCACAGTAACCACATTCCTTATTCTGTACTTGAAACCTGGAGGAGGCCTAGCATATGGGTGGATGTGTTCATTTAACTTCTGGAGCTTACAACTTGCTTCTCACTAGAATCCTGGGCACACTGAGCAATGCACATTTTTATGGTTTTTCAACAGTAAAGCCATCTTTATAAGAAATAGTAATGAAGCAGTTTGTACTTCAATATGACGTTACTATTTTCTTTTTCTCTGTGATAAAATTGTACTTGCCTTTGCTTCAGTTAACCTGGCGCAATGAGCTCTATTTGCTCCTGATGCGGTCAGCAGTCTTTATCATTGTTGTCATTATATAACTAGATTTTTTTTTTAATTTTTAAATTTTGGAATAATTTTCTATTTACAGAAAAGTTGCAAAGATAGGACAGAGTTCCCATATACCACCACTCATCCAATTTTCCCTAATGTTAATATCTCCAGATAATGTTTTAATCCAAGCCATTGCAAAAACAAAACATTTTTTTGACAGGGGTGAGAGTAAGGGAGGTGTGAGGAAGGGGACAGGAGTTTGATACTTAAAGTCAGCAATTCTTCAAAGGATAAGAATGGTCAAGCTTAAGTGTTTTAAACATTGTGGGCTTCTGTTTTCTCCAAGGAACAGTATGTAAGGGGCCTGATATAAGCCCAAATCACATGGTTCTTTTCCACAGATTCCAAGTGTTTAAAAAATAATGGCTGAAAATTGTAACCAAGCTGTGCCTTACAATTGTCCAGATGAAATGAGGGCGTTCACCTGGTGGCTTTCCTGTTGTCATTACCTGATATGCTTTTATTTTTCGTATGTCAAGAAGCAATGACGGGGTAGCTGTGAAGTGGAAGGGGCTATTGCTGCAGGGGATTGTAATTGGTGCCTGCCAGTTCATCACTCTGTAGTAGGAAAATATAAACAAAGATGGCCTCTGTCCGCAGAAAGGCCAGCATCTTTTCTGGAATATTTGTTAACAAATTGGTTTTCCTGGTGATTGAAAGTTCAAAACCTACACAGACTTGTCCCAGGCTTTCCTGCCTCTGATTGCGTGTGATTACTTACAGTGTCCTTGAGACTGTGGGGGCATTTGCTCGTTAGACTAGAGGAAGATGTCACTGTTTCCTCTGGGTCTCATGTGCGTTTCTTTGTTTCTAGGATCAGCTGAAAAATTCTTTTGCAAGAATGTGCCTCAAGATGTGGAGAGAGAGAATGAGGTACTCGGGCCATGCACTGTGTGAATAATCAACATGCTAGTCTCATTGTTACTTAATTTTTCATAATCCCAGTGTTTCCAAATGAGGCAAACCTTGCTTGAGTAGGAAAGTCCCTTAGTGATTAGATGGATCGTGGAGGATGGGAGAAGCTGATGGGTCCCTGCAATACGATTTTCCCTAAAGCCAGGTGAGGATTTGAGAGGTTTTTTTTTTTTTTTAAATTTATCCCAGTACTCATTGCATTAGCAGAATTATGGCAACTGGAGTGAAACCGCCTTTAAAGTGGATAATTGGTAATTACGTATATTCACAAGTGATTTAATGCAGGCGGGAACCTTGGCAAACAGCCAGGCCTATTTCCAGGTGTTCTGTTTTCTTATTTAGGCATCTTTAAAAAAAACCAAAAAAACATGCAAACTTGTTGTCATTAAGCAGCAAGACACAAAGTGCAGCATTCACAAAATAAAAGTCCTGAGTGCTGTGAAATCCAGAATCCTAAGTAAAATGAAAGGCTGAGAGTGTGAAACTGGATCCTCAAAGACCTGATGTATCACATAAAGCAAAGGTGTTTTTCCTCTGTGTGTAGGTGAATGCCCATTGCTCCCTTAGAATTAAACAGATAACTTACAGCCCATTTTTGTGACTTACAAATATGTGTTAACATAATTTCGTCATTTAATCATACAGTGTACTTGTCACACTGTTTTAAAGAGCATGTTTTCCATGGGGCTTATATTGAGCATGTAGTTCAGATGCAAATATTTCAGTAACAGGGACAACACATTATCAATGTAGAACTATTTATAGCCTTTCTGGCTTCTTGAATCCTAGAAATTGTTTTGATGATTGGAATATTGTGGGAAAAGTGCTGCAGAATTGGAGGAAGCAATTGGAGGAAGCAATTGGAGGAAGGAAGAATTGGAGGAATTCCACAGTGTGAGGAAGTTTGAAAGAAAAATAGGAAAGGAGAAGTTTAAGACGTTTTATCAGAATTGGGTCCTTGATATCTTTAGAAAGACTCCAGTCAATATTTGAGTTGCTGCTTAAATTATTTTTGATGGTTAATTTGTTGTTTATTTGAACGAGAAACACAGGAGTGGGCTCTAGAAGAGACATAATTACATTTTTGCTACATTAGCATATAGTCTTCTAGATTGGAGGTGAGATTCTCAGATTTATTCAAGGATTAAGATAAGAGTACCAGTTTATCGCGTCTGCCTTATCTATGGAATATGTAAGATTGTAGAGTGAGTAAGCAATAAGACATGAAATATGGTCATTCTCTGAGTTATTCTGAGAGCCAGAAGAGCATCGTGCTGAAATTGGGATTCTGACTTTTTCAGAGATACGTGGTTTAGGACTAGACATTCCAGGTGGAGATCCAGTCCTATGGGATATGAGGGATCTCCAGAATGCGAAAGCCTGAAAAACTTCCTAATAAAAGTCTCACCTGGGAAGTGGATTTCCATCCAACCTCAAGAGTAACCACATTTCTAAAGAGACTGGAGTCATCCATGGAAGGGGCAAGAATGCTGGTGACAAAGACGCTTTGTCCAGTCACCTTTCAGCACCAGCAGCTGAGTCCACACCGTGTAGTGTGGACTGGGCTGTGGCTGTGGGACTGCAGTCAAACAGGGAACCACAGAACGGTGGTCGGGCTCCTCCGCCAGCCACCAGTGATATTTGTGGACAGAGGCCCCTGAATAGCGGTTAGCTGTTGTCAGGGAGACACTGCGTGGTAGTGAACCTCGAGGGGTTTGAAAATCTTCTGTTAGGTTCTCTGTTGATGTTTTTCATTTTGGTTTCCCAACTTTGGGATGTGGCCTCTGTTATGGACGAGCTGGGTTGAGGTCGGTAGAAGGGAAGAAAAGAGACCCCTGGTCTCTGTGCAGTATATGCACTTTCTGCAAATGCAATATTTTTCTTTAATTTTCAAGATGTGTGACTTTCCCTCTCTACACTAGCTTTTTAGTTACCCATTGTCTCCTGTTCCATTCCAGGAGCACAAAAGAGATGCTGGCATCTCACAGTGGCTACTCCTGCCTGATGAAATATGGATTTGCATATTTTCCCTTCTGTCGCACAAGGAGCTCGCTTGGGTTGCACAAGTGTGTCGCCACTTCTACCGTCTTGCAAGTGATGAAAGCCTCTGTAAGCAGGCAAATCAATATTTGAAATGAACGGGCTATCATTGGGAAGAAAATGTCCATATAACTTCATCAAGTTTGCTTTGCAATTTTTCCATTGTCTAAGGGAAGTCGTTTGGAAAGTGCATTGCACTTTCCTGGCCATTATCATGTTGGTTAGTATAGTACTGCATTTATGCATTTGGTCATCCATCCGTCCATCCAACCTATAAACCAGGTGCTATGGGGATAATGAGGAGAATGAGACATTGGCCCTACCCTCCAAGTACTTTTATTGTATCAGGGAGACAGATCTATATCATCATCATCATCATCATCATCATCATCATCATTATCATTTATTGAGTACTTTCTATGTGCCAGACATTATACTGTTTTATGTACTTTACTTCACTTATTTCTCCCAACAATAATATCAGTCAGAACTTTCTCGCCCCCATCTTGGAGATGAAAGAAGTCAGTCTTGGAGGGGTTAAATAATGCACATACAATCTCATGGCTCGTAGATGCCAGAATTTACTGTTGAACTCCAGCACTGCTATTATGCAGGTGAAAAGCAAAGTAATGGGTAGCTGTGGGAGGAGGGAGTAATCCAGGAGGAGGGAGCATTTATGCCAAGTTTTGGAGAATAAGTATTTTCAAAGGTGGATAAATGGAAGTTAGAGGGAAGGGAGGCATTCTGAAGAGGTTGAATAGCAAAAAGATAGCAGAGAGGCATTGTGTCAGCTAGGGATTACATTTGGCTACTGGTTATAGAAACCTGAAACAACAGTGGCTTAAACTAGAAAGGGTTTAATTTTTATTTTTATATGACATGAAATCCACAGGTAAGTTGCGCAGGACTGATTTAATTGTACAGTAATATCATCAAGGAGCCAGGTTCCTTCCCTATTTTTGCTCTGTCATCCTTAAGTCATGGCTTCTGAGTTGAAGGTCATTTCATGACTACAAGATGGCTGCTGGAGTGCCAACCATCATATCATAGTTCCAGAAAGAAAAAAATATATAGGGAAGAGCAAAAGGGCAGCTACCATCTGAGTAAGTCCCATTTAAAGATTTTTTTTTCTTAAAACCCATCCAATGATATTTTACATCTCATTGACCACCTCTTTTTATAAAGTAGAGTAGGAAAGGCAAGGATTTTATGTGGGTACATTGTCTTCCCCAATATTATGGGGCTTCTGTTAGAAAGAAGAGGAGCATGGATATTGGAGAGGTAATTAGCAGTACTTGCTGTAGGCAAAAAGCATGAGCACACAGCACACAAAAAGTGGAGTTGAGAATATATATGGAGAAGGAGGCTGGGGTCAAGCCATGTAGTGAGTTCCTTACATGCGATACTGAGCTTAGATTGTATCCTCTAGGCAACAGGGAACACCTGAAGGCTTTTGAGCAGGGTGTGACAGTTTCAGAAAGATCAATCTGGAAGCAATGTGAAATATGCATTAGACAGAAAACTCTGTAAGTAGGAAGAAAACTCCCCCAAATTGGAGGCTGGAGTGTACCTCGGGCAGAAGAGGATGGCAGGGTGCTAACATTGGGTGTGGAGAGGAGGGGACACATCCCTGAGACCTTCTGCAGCAGCGGTTCTCAACCTTTCACAGGGGTCGCCTAAGACCAGCGGAAAACACATATTTTCGATGGTCTTAGGAGCCGAGACACCGCTCCTCTATCAGTCTCCAGGCCCACATGCAGATACGCCCACATGCAGATACACCCACATATGAGTACCTGGCGACCCCGGTGAAAGGGTCGTTCGACCCCCAAAGGGGTCGCGACCCACAGGTTGAGAACCGCTGTTCTGCAGGTAGAATCACCTGGGTAACTGTTTGGAGGTGGGGGTTGGGTGTACATTTGTGACTGACGTTTCTGGTCTGAGGGACAGGGAGAAGGCAGTGGCTTCCCTGCCTTCATTCCATCGTTAGAGAACCAGTGCTCAATAATACATTGAGTATGAATTCCAGCAGCCTAGCTCTGTGATTTCAAAGTCAGGCTAAGTTTTTTAACAAGGGCCAGGGAATTAGTGCGAGAGGAGTTCCCCAATTTGTCTCACTTGCCTTTGTTGGTAACCTACTCCTTGGTAAGCTTTGTCCTAGGCAGCAGGAAAATCATAGGAGTCTATAAACCAGGAGTCTGTAAATTTTGGCCCATGGGCGAAATTTGGAAGCCACCTGCTTTTGTAAATAATTTTTTTTTTTTCCCAAACACAGTCAAGCCCATTTGTTTACATGTTGCTTTTGGCTGCTTACTTGCTACAGTGGCAGAATTGAGAAGTTGTCACAAAGACCTATGCCCCACAAGCCTAACATATTTACTATTTAAAGTTTCTTTAAAACTTTTGAAGAAAAAGTTTGCAGGCTCCTGCCTAAAACGTTAGACTCTACCTGATTTCTCCTCTTCCAATTAATTTCTATGGAGGGAGAGTATCCTTTTGCTCCTGGGCCTGAGATTTAGGGGCTTAATCAGTACTTTTTATAATGTTTACATTTCTCAAAACACAATTTTTAAAAAATAAACATCAAGTTAAACAAAAATAAAACAAAAAATGTTCTATTTGCTTACTCTTCCAGGAGATTATGTAAATTATGTGGCTGTAGAAACATATTAGAAATTAATTACAAGCCCGTGACAGGCTTTTGTTTTACATTTAATATATATTTGTTATTGCAATTTCACACACAGAGTCCTCAAATTTAAATATTTTCTCCAGTGGAGCAATTAATAAAAGCAAACCCCTTAATTATTTGTGGCTAACCTTAATTATTTGTGGCTAATCTTAAGGTCATTTTAAGAGTATGATTTTAGTTTGTCATGCATTTCAACACTGGGATAAATGTTTAATTGGAGGGTGCAAACAGAATAATGCTTCTGTCTGGTAAAAGAATAATTCTTTTAGAAGACTTCTATTCTGCTAACAGTTGCTCAGGCAGCCCCTCTAATTAGCACTGTCGCTTCACATTCACTAAATTGAGAGGAGGAATAATTCAGGAATAAATAAGATACCACCTGAGTTCTTGGGCGCTTGTGGCTGTGCACAGGCAACCCCTGGTGGCTGCGCCCCAGCTGGTGGCATGCTGGGGTCTCCCCAGGTTGCTGTCAGAGCTCAGCTGAGGGAAAGAGTTGTTATGGAGGAGTGGCTGAAGCTTCAGTGCATCTGTTCTTTTAGGCACCCTGCAATCTGTCCCTGGTTAAATTTCAGATCTTTAAGAGCTGCTCGTCTCTCTGCTTTGCAGTGTGTTCTCAGTGGAATTTCATCTGGCACGTGGCCATCATCAGCTTCTATTCAGAAACAGCCCTAGGGGACTCATTGTGTTTCTGGAAGCTTGTTGTTGAGAACATCACTCTTTACATTACACAGCTGTCTCCCTGTGGCACCCACAGGGAGGTCTCCCTACCAGAAATAGTTGTGCTTTTCCTAAGTGACTCGTTTCTTTCATCTCATGGCACTAAATTGTGCAACTGACTGTGCTGCTTTAAAAAGCATAGAGCCACGTTGGTGATCCACGTTTAACATGGATAAAGGACTTTGGGGGTGTTTATTTTGTTGACCAAGCACAGCTCTGGCTCTGGTAAGTTTTGTTTTGGGATTCAGGCTTTGTAAAAAGCAGTGGCTGTAAAACTTGAGCATCCATCTGTCCGAATTGCCTGGAACGCTTGTTAAAACCCAGATGACTGCCTACCCCCCACAGTTGGTGATTCTGTAGGCTAGGTTGGGGCCTGAGAGTGTGGGTTTCTAACACTTTTCCAGGAGATGTTGTGTTGCTGGTTCAGGACCTATGCTTTGAGTACCATGGTCATAAAGAAAACAACCAATACAAACAACTGTTGTTGATTATATTAGCAACCTGCTCATGAAGCAGTGAGTTTTTGAATTCTTATTATGCCACTGACATTGAACTAAGCATTGTGGGGTGATGGTCCTTGCCCTGAGGGAATTTTCTGATTGGCTGCAGAGATGAGAAATATACATAAATCAGAGAAAAGGACAATGTGTAGATCAGGGGTGGGACAATTCAATGTGAATTTGGGTCTTCAGGAAGGAACACAGTGAAATAGGGCTTGAGCTGGTGTTCCAAGTAAGAATGGGTTTTGAATGGTGGAATAAAAAAGATGGTGAGGAGAGTCCTTGTGTTTAGCGCAGGGGTTGGCAAACTTTTGAGACAGAATAGCTGCCAGTGGTCAGCAAACTGCGGCTCGCCAGCCTCAGGCTCTGAAGTAAAATTGAAAATGAAAATAAAACTATCATAGTTTCATTTATAAAATTTTTAAAGGGTATTATTCACATAATGGTGATTATATAAAAATATATTTATGGCTCGCGAATAATTTTTAATTGTTGTGAGGGACAGGATTGGCTCTTCCAGGGGTCGGCAAACTTTTGAGACGGAACGTACCCAAAGAGCCACATGTGGCTCGCAAGCCGCAGTTTGCCGACGTCTGGTTTAGAGGATCAGCATGGGCAATGGGTCAGCATTGGGAAAAAGCCCCTATGAAACCACGTCCAGCTGCATCACGCAGAACACACAACTTCGAACTCGACAGAGCAGTATGCCCTCCTTGGCTACGGAGGAGAATGTTCCCCTTAAGCTGGGGCCACATTCCTGTCTCATCTTCCCCCTGCTTTCCATTTGATCCCATTTCTCACTGTTCCCTGACAACTTTCTCTACTTTCCAAGGCTATTTACGATCCTTTGCCCCTTCACCTGACATCCACTTTTCTCCTTTCTCTACCAGTCCCACGTGGCACAGCTCAAATGCTGTCAGCGACTGAATGAAAACATATTGGGTTCCTCCTCAAACCCTATGTTAGTGACTAGTGAATAGCTTGCTTTGACAGGGGTATCATTCCTTCCTCGGTTTACTTGTGTCTGAGTTTTACTCTTCATCTGTCATTTCTAGTTTTCTTGCTCTTCCTCTGTGACAACCCTGTTCTCTAACTGTGGTCCATAGACCAACAGTATGCCCCTTACCTGGGGATTTGCTGGGAATGCAAATATGGGACAC